ACAGTCACTAGTGTCTCTGCAGTTGTTCCTGGGTCTTTAGACACATCTCGCACTAGTTTGCTTCCTTTCCTTGTTCTGTACTGCGTGGTCCTGCTTCTCAGTGCAGTTCTTGATGTTGGGGTAACTGTGTGCTCGTGTGCATCACAGGCCCATCGCTGTGTGATGTGTTTGTATTCTTGTCTTCAGTTTCTGTCAGCTGTAGTTTGTCCCTGTTAGGTAACAGCTGAATGATTAGATTTAAAAATCCAAATTCGGATGAATCAGAAAGTTGGTTAAATGATAACCACGAGCGTTCCTGCTGTCCATGGTAGTGACAGAGTGCTTTGGTGAGAGGAATAGTCAGCAGTATTCACATTACTCTGCTGGATTCAAACGGAGGCTCTGACGTATCAACTCAGGCTTCATCTTGAGAAGTGTTGCTGAGCATGCTCACTGGAATTGGGTGCAGGTCTGAAACGTGCAGCCAACACGACCGTTAGCCAATGGATGTGCAGTGTTCCTGGTCTCAGTGGTGAAAATACTCAGCTTAATGCTGACGATCCAGTACAGTCTGGAGCGTAGAGCTGGTCCTGGGGTGTAGCTCTGCAGCTCAGTCTTAGTTATATACAGTGAAATTACAACAGCAGTTATCTTCACACGTAACGACCCTACGGTGTTAGCGAGAAACCACAACAATCAAATGATCCCCTATGAGCGAGCACTTGGTGACAGTGAGACAAAAAGCTCCCTTTTAACAGGAAGTGACCTAAAACAGAACCAGGATCACTGGACTAAAGTATGGGAGAGAGGCTCCAAAGGCTAATGACATGCAGTAATAGCACATATACTATAGACAGCATGAGAAAGCTGCTTCTGCAGGGGTCATATGATAATCCGGTTGTTCAGTGATGACGCGAGGAATCCTACTTCCGGGTCTAAAGTAGTCTGCGTTTAATATGGCTTTTGTGTTGTTAACATGTTTAATGTTTTGTATTTTCTTCTATTTAATCTCAAAAAGCTCCTAAAACAGTCAGTGATCACTGTTGACCTCCCTCGGCTTTTATTACCGCTAATCATTTATTTAAGCTCAGTTTTTAAAACCTTAGGATGTAACTACAGCCCAGCCCATGCAGCAGTATATGAATGACTAACCTCGTATTGTGGATGGATTATCTCAGTTGTTCTCCTGGCTGAAGTTTGGTCCTTTTACAGCATCCTGCCATGCGATTACATTTGTTCCTGACCACCGAGAACACTCACGTTAACTTTTATCGAGTGGAAAAAAAGTTAGCTTGTTTATATTAAGCTAACATAGCTGTGTCGCTAGCAGTCACGTAGCACATCATTATATAGCAGCTAGCCCAACTTCAGTAACCCTACAAACGTCACTGCTGTTTAGTTTTCTGTCTTCATTTATGTTGGAAGTGATAGCAGAGCTGTACGTTTTAATTTGTTTCCAAAACCCCGCAGTCAGGACATGCTATGTTGTATTTAGATAGAAGCTAGCGAGCTAAGTTCCTGCTAACTTCTAACTCCGTTAAATGTCATAAATTCTGTTTTCATGGATGCCTGGATGTTAAACTCAATTGTTACACCTGGTAGAGCAGAACACTGATCATTTTATTAAAGATGAAAGACTTTAGACAGTTTTTCAACTCTCAGTAATGCCACAGTGATCGTTTGATATATGGACCTGCAGCGGAGTTTAGGCCCAGACACGGCTAGTGATGTCAGACTGAACAACCGGATACTCAGAGGTCTCTGAGGTCTGATGGGGCTCGGCCGTTTTGGGGAGATTGGAGTTGTCGTAGAAACAGTTTGTAGTCATTATGGGAACCTGCTGATGTGAGAATGATGTATAAACTATGATAAAGCATTTATAATGTAATGTCACATTTGACCTTTAAGGTCAGTAGACCGATGTGAAGTTCAAAGTGATAATGATGCTTTATAGAGCTGTTGGTCCTAGATGCTGAGCAGACTCCTGGCTGTTTCTGGCCACGTGCACGTCCAACACTGTCAGTGATGTCCTGTGGTGTGTCCTCGCTGCCGCTTCACGCCCAGCACGGACTGACCTGTTTGAACTCATGCTGGGATGAAACATACTTTCTAAATCAAATTGAATGTCTGTCTTTATTAAGTGTCCATCTAAAGATGAGCGAGTATGACGAGCGCAGTGAGGACTAAGAGTTCAGTGTCCTCCAGGTCATGGTTAACCTTGTAACTGCTGCTGTGCTTCTTTCTGATTTGTAGGTGGTCATACCACAGAGGTCCTGCACCTGCTGCAGTGCATGTCTGCAGCCTACACACCTCGACACTATGTCCTCGCAGACACAGACAGGATGAGCGAGGAGAAAATTTGCACGTTTGAAAGCCTCAAACAACAGTCGGACTCACAGGTACGCATGATGGAGCTTTTGGTTTTAACTCAGTGTGGTGATGCACAGCGAGAGCTCACTGAGCTCTGTGGTCTCCATGGCCCAGCAGCTGCACCCCAGCACAGTGCAGAGGTTCAGATACAGCAAAGCGTGCCACCGCTGGACTCTGCAGAGGACTTGCTGCTCCCACAGGACTGCATCATCATAGGCAGGAGAGTCCTGACACAGCAGGCTCACACACTGGAAGAGTTACTTATTTCCTGTCCTTCAGGAAAGTATCACACTGTGACAGTACTCCACTGCCAGGCAAAGAGCACATCAGCAAAACAGAAAGTAAAGTTTGGCCTGTTGGCCACCAGCGTTTCTGAAGTAATCCTGTTACTGTGTGGTTTAAGCTGTCTACCGAAGCACACGATCTGATATCCTCGTGTTGGTGTTGTTCCCAGATCATCATGAAAATGTTCCAGGTTCAACATTGCAAGTGACCAATCAGAATGTTGTGACGTCATACTTTTGCGACTTCGGGAAAAACCGGCGTAAAACAAAAAACTGTACTTAAGCTGCGAGAAACCGCCTCTGTCCGCCGATCAACGGACCCTGACCCTAACTCTTTAATAAACAGTAAGCAGAATTGATATTGTCCTCGCAACATTGGAATTTCATAAATGCACGAATGGCTTGGCGTTCAAAAGAATAACGTCACAACAAAGTGATTGGTCACTTGCAACGTTGAACCTGGAACAACACTTTCATGGTGGTCTGGAAACAACACCAACACGAGGATATCAGATCATCCCTACAGAAGCACGTCCTCGTGTGTCTCACAGGTCCAGGCGTGTGGTTGGTTTCTGTTTGTCTTCAGTCCCTGTCAGCTTACAGCTCAGTGAATCCATCTAAACATCTAATGTCAAATTCAGACGAATGTGACGCACACGTGTTTGTTCCTCAGTTCACCATCTGTCGGATCCCACGGAGCCGCGAGGTGCACCAGTCCTGGAGCTCGTCTGTCGTCAGCACTCTCGATGCCCTGCGCTATTCCCTGCCTCTGGTGTTCAGGCTCAGACCGGACATGGTGAGTGGAGCAGGCTGTAGTGAACAGTGGCTCACACAGCGGTGGTTAGCACGCTGCAGCTGAAGGCATGTTACCAACGGAATATTCCATCCGTTATATTTGAGTCACAAATACTGTTGTGTTGTTAATGAGCGACAGTAAATGGAGAGGAAACGGCTTCTCACTGGTTTCGCTTTACAAAAACATTTGTTTCTGCTGAAAAACTGCTTCTGTTCAAACGCTGGCTGTTTCAGGTCTGTTTTAGTCGCAGCTGAAACGCTGGCGCTTACGTGGCGACGGCGCCGAGCGCTAAACGAAGCGTCGAGGCAAAGGATCATTTTCTGATCAACTTATCGCTGCAGCCCTGCTGCTGTAAGAAGGTTTGTGCAGGGAAACAGACGGCTGAGAGGTGTGGGTGTAAGCTGACTGCAGAGTGGGGCTCTGCATGCAGAGGAGCTGTATGATTACTTCTCCAGACTCCACGGCAGCTTTCCTGTAAACTCCACCAGCCTCCTTCAGTGCTGAGGCCTCGTACTTACTCAGCCCCCTCCCTTTGTCTCACTGAACGCAGTCCTCGGTGAGTCAAACGCGTATCTGTTTGAAACATTCTGATGCATTTGTGGTTTGAGACGGTTCAGCTCAGCCGGGTTTGGCCTTAAATATGTTCGGTAAGCTCCAAACCCCAACATGCACCGGACGTGTCAGGGTTTCCCTCTTTGACTCTCACAGTTTCTACTGAAGGACCTGAGGAGGGGAGGTCACTGTGTGAGAACAGAGGCTGCTGCGCTGCATGTCCGAGGCGTCCTGTGATGACAGGGAGTGCACATGAACCGATCCAGTCTTTGTCACATGACACACAGTTTTGTAACAGATGTACAGAATAACCTCTTTCCACGGATGTGTGCCCGCCCCCCCTGTCTGTGTTTTCAGGTGCTGTGTAACGGCCCGGGGACCTGCATTCCCCTGTGTGTAGCAGGACTCCTCCTTGGAATTCTGGGAATAAAGAAAGTCCTGATAGTTTACGCTGAGAGTATTTGCCGTGTCCAGACGTTGTCGCTCACTGGGAAGATCCTGTATCCTGTATCCGACTACTTCTTTGTACAGTGGTCGTCTCTGAGGGACAAATACCCCAAATCCATTTTCCTGGGAAGAATGGTGTGAAAGTGTCCGATCCACACGGACTCATTCCTGCTGTGTGATGAATAAATGCTGTGTCTGTATTGTTGAGTTGTTTGTGCCATTATTTACTCTCACTACTATTAAACTACTCAGAAAACAATGCAGTGAAGGTGAAACTGCTGCACCTGCGCATCGCTGGGGAGGCTGATCGTTATCTGTCCGACGTGGCATCACGTGTGATCGCTGTGGAGCCCACACCGAGCACGAGTCCCTGCATGAGAGGAGAAAGATGGACACCATGTCCACCCGCACATTCCAGGATCACCACAGTGCACGTGGGTTAGCATGTTTTCCCTGACAGTACACACGCGTGTGTCTCATGAAGCTGAACGCCTGTTAGTAAGCCCACGCGCAGCCTCTGCTTCCACGGCACGGCGGGGAAAGGAGCGGGTGAGATCTGTGTGTTTCTCGGGTGCTGTGGGACTTGGTTAAAGCCGCACCAGCTTTTCGTTTCCAGCCAGCCTGCAGACCAAAGCTGAGCTGAACAGGATTCCTAAAAATGATCCCGGTGTGGAAAGTTTTGGTCATGTGTGGAAGTTGTACTCATCCAGGGCTTTCAGGATGCAGCCGACACTGAGGGGAGGGGACAGGAGGCGGGGGGCTGACCGTGCTCTCGCCTCGCGCACTGCTTGAGCTCCCGTCGGGCCGAAACAGTCGCTGAGAATCCGTCTTTTCCACAGACGACTCCGCGGACTTTGCGAGTAATCCCGTGGGTTACAAAAGCGCCACGATGACTCACTTTAATAAGGGACCAGCCTACGGCCTGTCTGCTGAAGTCAAGAGCAAAGTAAGTGCTTCGGTCGCGTCTTTACTTTGTCTCACGTTTCCTTCGCTTTCAGACTTTTTGTGTGGATGCTAGAAGCCCGCGGGCCTGTCGGTGTGTCTCGCTGTGGGCCGAACACGAGAGTTTAAACAAAGGTTCGGTCCTCTTGTTTGTCTGAACGCTTGTTCCCGGCGCTCGGGAACTTTTCCCTTCGTGTCCAGCACGAAGAAAGACGCGGGGAGCGTTACTGTGACCGCAGCCGCCTCGGTGCCAAGCGCTGCTTTTACGCCTCTAAAGCGTTTGAAACAGTTTGTTGAACTTCTGATGAGATGTTGTGATGAAGATGTTTGATGACGAGAAGCTAAACGGGATCTGTGGAGCAGCTGGGAGGAGCCCGGACACACTGATGCTTCCATGTTGCCTCAGATTTTAGGAGCAGACTTAGAACAGCAGTCAGTGTCGTGGCAAATATTCAGAGCAACCAAACCATCTGTTAGTTTCACGGCAAACGCGTCGTGTCTTTGCTCTCGGTCTCCGTGGACAGTCTGTGAGGGATGGCTGAAGGATGACGCCATCAGAAACACGTACAAACGCGCACTCTCCACGAAGTTCGCGTTTCTTCTGTCTGCTCCTCACAATGCCTCCATCTGTTACTGCGTGTTCACGATGCCCCGTGAGATTTACATTACCCACGCCACGCATGACTCGCTGCATGGAGGGACTTCTGCAAACTTGGGATTTGAAAGTCCGCCAAAATGAAGTAAAGGACTTTCGAGAGCGTTGATTTGAAAACACATCTTTTGTGTAAGCATGAGAAGTTGGTGGGCACGCTGCCAGTCTGCGTGTGTGTGGACGAGTTAGTGTTTTTGGCTGTTCGTGTGCCAGGACGTTTGTTTGCCTTTGGCCTCGTCTTCTGTCCTGTCAGCAGTCTGAGATTTTAAGAACGAATGACACGCGGAACCAAAGGTAGATGTTCCCCACGTCAGCCAAAGGCTCTGTCCCTGTGGTTCTTCAGCATCACAATGATGGTCTGAAGGCAAAGAAAGATACACAACAGGTTTCCTTTACCAAGTGGATCATCACGGCCTAGCCACAGTGGTCCGTTTGATTGACCTTTATTATTATTATGTATTTATTTTATTTTCAGTTGTTGCAGACGGGACAGACATGACTGGGCAAGATAGAAAAACACAGGGGAAGAGGGAGAAAAGGCACTTTTCACCTGGATCACCTGTTGAGAGGAAGGAAACAAGCAAAAAACGAGCAGCATAATAAACACAACAGCATCACAATAATCTAGCTGACAGTAGATATTAAATATTGAATGTTATTGTGCAGCACGCAGGACTGACAGCGCTCAATGTGCTTTGAGGTAGCAGCCAAGAAAGGTGTAGTTTGTGTCTGTGCACGCCTGTGTGCACCAGCACGCTTGTATTCAAAAGGTTTGTCTATGTAACGATCTGCTAATGTCTTGTGATTGACAGGCCCCTAGGTCGAGAGTATGTGCTTCTGGAACACAGAATGACAACGATTTATAAAACAGACCTATTTTTTTATTCAGGACGACCCAAAGTCGGTGACAGAGCCCAAAAACAAAGAAGGAAGATGCTCACAGACTGCAAGAGAAACGTTTTCCCATGAGCTTATTTTAATCAATATTTCGATCACCACAGTCATCTGGCTGCAGATTGAAGACACTTTTTCCCACCTGGAAGTTCCATCCGTGTTTCCCGTCTACAGCTGATAAAAACGCGACGTGGCAAAGCCAGCGTGCCAGTTTCATCCGAGGATGAACTTTAGGCTCTGTGGTGATGTCGCTGCAGACGCTTCCCTACAAGCACACAACCTATGTGTGTCAGTCTTAACATGAACAAACAATTAGTCCTTGTGACCTAAATCAGTCTCCTCAGAACTTAAGCTCAGCATCTGGAGATGCAGGTGAGCATGTGAAGCTCCATCAGACGGTTTCTGATGATGGACATTATGAAAGCAGCTGCTGGTTAGCTTTGACTGTTGGTTAGCTGCTAATGCTGTTTGAGTCACATTCATGGTACAGACTGTAACCGAGTCACATGGCTCTGTGCCAAAACACAGGACATACAACAGCAGCCATAGAAACCGTAGACTTGTACGCTGCAGCTAGTCTCACGTCTGTCTGACACTCGGCGAGCATCAACTTCTGTTTGGACGGTGGACAGCTTTCTGATTTTGTGTGTTAACCTTCAGTGTAAGAAAAACGCCTCCTGGGATATCACCTGGTATACAGCTGTCACTGCTCAGCACAAACCTCAGCATCAGAGCTTCAGCAAAGGAAATGCATCAGTCAGCTTTTGTTGCTCTTCACCATGAAACAAAGAAACACAGAGTGAACATGAAGCAACTGGTTTAACGTGAGAGGAAGAAGCGTCTGTTGGTCAATAACTCAAAAATGGGAGGCACAAATAAATGTGCCAGAGTGTCCGTCAGCATACCGAACCAGCAGTGTGGATACAGTCCAGTCACACAAGTCCTGCACTGTAGTGACGTATCAGCAACAAGTGTGTGTGCACAGCTTTTAGCTGTCGCATGTCCTCCTCCCAGAGCCTGTTTCTCTTTGTCATATCAGTGTGACCAACAACTGCCACATTACCACCTACTTAAATGATCAATTCCATCCTAATACAGAGCTGCAGCCAATACAAGGCCACCGGTGCTGCGCCGGAACGTTCCAGGTGAACTTCCAGGATTTGCTTCCTGTGAAGGATAGTAAATGATTACCTGGATCACAACACAGCAATGGGACGAATGCACTCAGCCCGACTGCCCTCCTGTTCATCCAGGCGTGTGCTGACGTTAGCATTGGCAGTATCAAAGAAGCATCTGTGAAACAGGCCAGGAATCTGTGCAGGTTTTATATTAGTAAAAATTTCCCAGAGCCCAAAAATGTCTAAATATTTAAAGGGTTTTCCATCATCACAGTGGAAACGGGGAAACACTAGTGTACTTTACACAGAGGGAACGTCATATCGAAGCTCTGTGAGTTTGTTGGCTCACACACTTTTCTATGTGTGTTTCATATAGACATGAATGGATGAGAGGCTTTCTGTGTGTTACCGTTTCCTTTTTGATGACATGCTGAGAGGAACCACCACGGTTCCTTTGTGTGCTCGCATGAAAAACACGTGGAAGCTCCTGATGCCGTACGCTGCCTCAGTGGTTCCCCCTAATTTTACAAGAATATTCAACATCACTGTCAATACATTTTTCCAAAAATGTCTCTGTGTGCAAAGTGGGTTTAAAAACCTCAAACTGTGGGATACAGTGTGTCCATGATTTGGGGAACAAACTGTGGCAGGATCCGTGTTTGTGCCAAGGTCGGTATCACCGACACAATGTGTTCCTCCTGCGTCAGTGGGCTGGACACGGGATCCAGTTTACTGCATTATAGAGAGTTAGACGGGGAAGTAGTGATGTTTTAGTTTTGTGAACGGTGAGTGTCGTTACATCGCCATTCTGTGGAAGCCAACAGCAACAAAAGAAGTATCCATAACTCCAAATTTCGAGTCATTTGCTCTGTCAATCAGTAATCCACGTGGAACGCGCACTCAAAACCGGGTCGCAACAACTTGGCGCTTTCGAGAGTACGTTTGCTGATAGTAACGCTAATAATTCAGCTAATAACACAAGGATTTCATCATTTGTGAAGCCAAGCTGAAAATAATCAGCAATTTGTGCATTCATGACTGTAATCCTGGTAGCTTAGCTGTAGCATTTGTAGCTGAGGGCTTCAGCTTCCGGGTAACATTACTGGTAGATTACTGACTAACTCGAAATTTTGAGAAAATAACTCAAAATTTGGAGTTATGTGGATGCTTTTTTTTTTTTTTTAGTGGTGGAAACGGGCCTCCATACCATTCAGTTTGAGGGTTACAACAGAAAATTATATATTTATTGTTCTCACGTGGTGTTGGACGGGACTATTTTAACAAACGAAGGACATTTTGCCCGATAATTACTTTTATCCTCCTGTAACTGTACAAAGTGCTAACATCTCCAAAGTTTCAGGAGTAGTTAGTCGTTATAAGAAGTGTTTGTGAACTAAAAATCAAGAATGTGGGATCCTGTTTGTCCGTGATTTGGAGAGCCCAGTGCTGCTCCCCACGCAGGGGAAACTCCTTCTGTCGGCACGACAGCTGCTCTTCTAGTCTTTGGCTTGGAAGCATCTTTGACGATGCTTCAACCTCTGCTTTGCGTTTGTGTCCATTATACTAGCAGTGTTTTCTTATAAAAACCATACTGCGACGGCAGGCCGGGCGTCCGACGGCAGGCCGGGCGTCCGACGGCAGCACATCCTAAAAACCTGTTTAAAATGGGAGAGCACCCATTTTAAACAGGTTTTTAGGATGCTGTCATATTGCCGTGTGCTCTGATAATGGTGTCGATGTAAGAACTGGATATGATTCCCTACCAAAGTTCTGGATTTTGAGTCACGTTGGTGTGAAGCCATGTTCCTTCTGAACATGTAAATATGACTTTTGTTCCCTTGTGTCAACAAAAGCAGAGCAGCAAATGGCTTCCATTGCGTAACGTGCGATCAGGAGTCCACGCTCTTATCCTGTCAGCATACATCACATTCCTGAGATTCTTCAATGCCTCGATCCAGCCGTCCGCCCGCTACTTTTCACTCGGCTCAGTTGGCAGATCGTGTTATTCCGGTCTGTTCAGTAGACGTGCTGCATAATTCATGTCGAGTACATCTCCTGAGTGTCATTGTTAGCCTGGGCTCTGATTGATCCGCTATGGAAATCTTATTTATTACGATATGTTTGATTATATCGAGGTTTTTATACCAGATGGCCTAACCTGTCCTGTTTAGCTGGGCTCAGGAGTACACTAGCTTAGAGCCCCCTGTTGGTCTTTACCTGCTGCACATGCAGCATTAGTACAGTAGCCAATGTTGCACTGGTGCTGCAGGGTTTGAATCGTATCCAACAGCCTGCAAATTGTTAATGTAACTAGTAAAGGTTATTATGGAGTTCCACAGG